TAGTGGTACTGCTGTGAGAGGTTTTCGAGTTCGAATATTGGCTAAACCTATCGGGTTTATAACACTTTGTCCACATCTCCTCAGTCCAGTTGCACGGCGTAATTCGTGTGCAACTTTAGAAGCAGCAATGACACGCTTACATCTCGACGTTGTAACAGTAAAACGACCTTGCCCAATCGTCGTTTTTCGTAGACGTCCTGAGCGCCGACGATCAGTAACATGTCAAGCGGTCCGGGATCGGTTAAAAAGTCGACATATGGTGAACGGATGCTCAAGAAAGTGTTCAACATCTTTGTGAACAACAGGCGTTACTTAGCATCTATATAGTCGTTCGACGTTTATTTTTGAAAAGTCTTAGACGTTTCCCAATTGGATGTTTTTGCAATTTTTCACCGGTTTTCTTTTATAAGCGTGCTCGAAGGGCTTTTTAAGTTAAAAAAAAAATTCTTCCAGGAATATGATGTGCGTTTGAGCATAACCTATTGTATTGTTGAATTGTTATAACGTTGGACGAAGCGGTTTTCGCGCGACAAGTTAAAAAAAGTATGTCTTTTTTTTAAACCTTTTTTTATAATGATTTTAAGTAGAAACAAAATAAAAGTTTCGAGAAAAAAAAATTAAAATTGTACCAATGGCTAAACTTATTTTGCTCAGTATACATCTCATCTACAAAGAATGGAAATGACCAGTTTAGTTGACAATACATCACCGATTATTTAAAGGTCAAGCTGAAGGTCCCAATACGTGTTTTAATGCGCCCAGATCGATAGATGGGTCGTATATTGTTTTTGTCCTTCTGTCTGTTTAATTTAGCCGTCCATTCAGCTGTCTGTTTGTCTTGCCTGGTAGTACGGTGGAAAACAGTCAAGATGTAGAAAGTTATGAAATACCTGTTTGTGCAAATGGGGACCTGCGTACATTAATCAGATTAATTATTGGTCAGCTTCTAAGGAGAGAATCAGCTGTGTCTGTGATTTATGTTGTGGAAATTATTCTAGTTAACCTATTTCGGTGGAGGCACAGAGGGTTTTTGGCAGAACTCGTCACACCCTGAAGGGTTGGTGTTCACCTCGACAACCCTTTCTGAGGCATTTGAAACACGGGGACCCCCTTCGCCCATGCACTGGAGAAGTATTAAACTCCAGTCACATTTCCAAAAACGACCAACGGCCGACGGTTTTTGAAGCAAAAATGGAGTTCTTCGGGTGACAGTCGGCAGTTCATCGGTCGTTGTCTTGCCCGAATTTGACATATTTTTTGTCGGCCGACCAATTTTGTGTCTATCGGTCCAAGTTATAATTTTTTCTGCGTCGGTGGCCGATTTCTTCAATTGAAGTTATCCGTCGCCCAACGTTCGATCATCGTCCGACCATCGGCGATCAGTTTATGAAGTCGGTCGTCCGTCGTTCGACAATAAGTGTGTCCAAAATTTCGACCGACGGTTAAAATCAAACTGTAGCTCAGAACTCGATGATCGGGCGACGATTGGCCGACTTGTGAATATTTAACCTATGAAGGATACATAACACAAACAAAATTTTAATGCATGGATTGATATATATTTTTTGAACTGAAATAACATTAATAATTAATCCGTAAGATATTATGAAAATCTTAAGTATTCTTTGCTGCTTAGATATGCGCCATTTGTCGTTTTTTATGCAATTCTTTACAAAATTTTGCACACATATTCAACATAGAGTCACAATCTTACAAACTTCTGTCACTTTGCGTTGCAAACATTACTCACGTCACTTATCTGAATATAGATCTATGAAAAATATTGCTGATTTCTAAAGAAAAAAATTGTTTATTTATCCAAGTCATAGGTGTTCCTGGGAATTAATGTGACTGCTCCTTGTCGCCCGATACTCATGTCGGCCGATCATGTTCTATCAGCCGACAAGACCAGAAAAAATTATTCGCCCGATCATCGGTTTAAATGTGACCTAGGCATTAGGAATGCACGGACTGTGCATTCCCATCAATTAAGAGCAGTATTGCTTTTTGTCAATATAACAAAGCAAATAATGTTTGTATGTTAACATAGAAGCAGCTTTAAAATAATTATGTATTCATATGACATTTTGGATTAGATACAGGATAATGGCGGTGCAGAAGTGCTAATCATTTATATAATATATAAATGGTGCCTGTTTTGGAGGGTAACAGTTGAAATTGACACCCCTAGGAGGTTGACAATGGTTTTCCGAGGGGTGTCAATTTCAACTGTTACCCTCCAAAACAGGCACCATTTATTTTATTATACTGAATGTCTTCTTGATTTACTATGTCAGCAATACAAATCGTCGATCACCTTTTCGTTCACGTTTAGAAAGCTTTCAAACTCCCCGCTACTTCGAAAAAGATTTACTGACCTCTTTATTGTTTATTTGATACTCTACGAGTCCTTTATAATCTTAATTTTCGTTATTTCTGCACTCGCAAGCATTTTCGTCTGTCGTTTATTGTATTCAAGTAAGCTACATCGGACGCAAGCTTTTATTGACGTCAAGTTTATTCCGGTTCTTTCAAACGAGCAACTGACGTTTTGAGAATTCTACGGTGAACCGTACACGCATAATTTCCACGCATGTGGCATTACCGTTGTGTTACCCATTGTCACCTGTGTTGCTAAGGCGGAGGGTAATAGAACAGATTGTAAACTGCGTCTAAACCAATCAGATTTTAGTATTTAACATGAAAGTATAATAATTATATTTGTTTACACATATGAGCCTCACAGTTACCACATCATTGGTTCTCCTTATCATGACTTGTCCTTATGATGTTCAGTAAAGCATTTATGTATAACTGTTCAGTATGACAGTTTTTACTCACTTGTTGATGATGTTCGGTAAAGCATCACCCTATAAATTGCTCACTGTAGAATTAAACATCACTCAATAAAACCTCAGTATAGCATGATGACTCCATAAATGCTTAGTATAGCATTATAACATCACTCAATAAATGCTCCGTATAGCATTATAAGATCAATCTATAAATGCTCAGTATAGAATTATAACACCATTTTATAAATGCTCCGTATAGCATTATAACGTCACTTCATAAATGCTCTGTAAAGCATTATTAAGTATCAGATAAATGTGCTTTAACATATCAGGAAAGATTACGTATAAGTAGAATTTTTAGCGAGGATTTAATTTTGGCATTTTTAGCGAGGGTGCTGACATCGCTAAAATTGAATATCGCTAAAAATTAATCGCGTATTACTTGTAATAGCTTTTAAAGTTAGCATTTTAAAATCGCTAAAATTAGTTCTCGCTAAAAATGAAATACTAGATTTTAGGTAGAAATCGCTAAATTTGCGTCTCGCTAATAAAATTTCCACTTATATGGTAATTAATTGTTTTGTTTAATTGTATTATTTTTTGTAATAATTACAAAACCCAGGTGTACATTAAAATTTTAAAATTTAACTCAAAAGAAAATAAAAAAAATCTTCTTTATTAATTTAATGTTTGGATTGCTGAATTTCAATGAAATTAATTATGAATACTAGTATCATATTTGTTTAATTCAGAAAGCATATCACGATATAAGGTTTCATGAAATTTAATTTCTTGTATTTTTTGTTTTGTTAATTTATCAACTGATTGTTATATTTTAGGCTATTTTGAGGAAGTAAATTATAAATGACACCAGTTCGATCTGAACCAGTCATAGTCTTCTGGTCACAATAGCCTTGTGCTCTATGTTATGATAGAGTAAACCAAAAAAAGCAATTTGACAAATCAAAGCAAAAATAAAGTTTTGAAATTGCTATGAAAAAATTCACAGCAAGTAAAATGCTAACTAAAGGGAAGACTGTTGGTATCCTTATAAAGACTAATTTGCTATTAAACATGACAATTAATTGTGTTTGCATATCAGATGTAAAGTCTATATAAGATTGAACCAAAAAGGGACCAGCTATTCAAATTGGGGAAAAAGGGGGTAAACAGAAGATATGATGGAAACAACAATTATTAGAATAATAATTGTATTCATGTATTTGATACAATAATTTGTTTGGAGGTTCCCAGTAACATTTAATAGGATGTTAAGTTGTGAAAAATTTCAAATCCACGCCTTGCCTGATGATTAATTGTAATAAGTGTAAGGTCATGTGATGGCACGGATGTGATTTACATGTCACATTTTACATGGATGTGACTTGCATATCACATGTTTTGATATTGATTTGATGTGCCATCTTTTTGCTAATTTTTTCATATGGTGTTTTGATTGTTTCTATTCATTTTTGGGGGATCAGACATTATCATATTTTACGTAACTGATGAGCAAAGCTTGTAAATCTGATCACCTTCTTGTTTGTTAAGTTGTTCACATTTATACCGTCATTTTAATAAATGACATTATTCATCATCATGGAAGTGTTTTATTTGACTTTTACAAATTAGAAAAAACAATCTGCGGTGATCCTGCCTGTAGACATTAGAAGACATAAAATAACAATTATTAGAATAACAATTGTATTTATGTATTTAAGGCGATAATTTGTTTGGAGGTTTACAGTAACATTTAAGATGGTAAATTGTGAAAATTCTCAGTTCCACGCCTTGCCTGATAGATTAATTTTAATAGAAGGTGTAAAGTCACGTGACAGCTCAGCGAGTCATTCATACTCGCGCGCTGACCACCGTTTACATGAGACACGCCTATTTTGAAGATTCACCTCCACCCCAGCATTCCTAACCCTTAATATGATGATTAATGTGACTTGTAAAATAATATATTTTATTATTTTTTTCACTCAATTGTTTTACTGCTTCTATGTATTTCGTTTTGATTACTATCTTTTTGCTAACCTTTTCTTTTGAGATTCTGATTGTCTTTTTGATGCACCATCTTTTTGCCAACTTTTTTCTTATGATGTTTGCCTATTTAGTTTTGTTGGGCCATCTTTTTCATATGTTTTGATTGTCTTGTTTTACAGATACTTTTTTCTATTCATTTTTGGGGGGATCAGACATTATCATATTTTACGTAACTGATGAGCAAAGCTTGTGAATCTGCTCGCCTTCTTGTTTGTTAAGGGTTTCACATTTATACCGTCATGTTAATAAATCAAATTTTTCATCTCCATGGAAGTGTTTTATTTGACTTTTACCAAATTAGCAAAAACAAGATGCGGTGATCTTGCCTATAAACATTAGAAGACATAACATTTGTTGCGAATATGACATTAATCAATGTTTATGAAAATTGTCAATCAACATTCTTGATGGCGAAGGGCTCTTGCAAACAATTTTAGGGACTTTATTATATATAATTGTAGAAGGAAGGAAATAATAAAATAATTTATAGGGAGATGCATGTGCGTTAGTTTGACGCCATGTGCGACGAAACAGAAGTCACAAACATCTCGGCTAGTTCCACAATAAACTGAAATAGCAATATTTTAACGTATCTTCCTCAGTAAAAGATCTTCGAGAGTTGTTCTTTTTTGTCTCATTCTCGCTTAAAATGTAGAAACGTTGGCGATTACTGAGTATGGATGTCGTGACACTCGCATTCTAACATTCTAAGCTTTTCCAGAGTCTGATTTTCAAATTTAATGTATCATAAGGTCCAAAGTCTTCAAATTGACCGTTATTGATATTTGAATCATATTTGTTTTGCAAGCGTAACCCTGGTTTATTTTCTCGTGTTAAACAGCTAGTTGGGTTACTCATCTGTATCTCTGGAGATGGTTTTTCTGAATCTGCGAAAAAATATAAATATGCAAGTGCTTCAATAAATTTGAATATTTAATATAATTACATGTATATAGATAAAATCTTTCACCTAACAAGATTTGGTGTTACAATATAAACAATGTTACCTTGACTATCTTGGCAGCGTTTTGATGTGCGCTTCCTGTTTAGAAATAAAGATTTTACTCACATAAAATGCATTTTTTACAAATTGTGCAAATTTTCAAGAAGGAAATGAATATTTGTTTGTTTTGGTTAATGTTAGCAAGAAAATAAAAAGTAGCAAAACTGTTGAAAAGTTTTTCTGTTAATTATCATACATGTATACATTATCTTTTCTGATATACTTTAATTACTTTAATTATACACAATTTAGTTATTCACTCTCCTCATCCGTCAATTTCTGTAAAAACATTGGTCATTTTTTCCAATCAAAGTATGCATTTGTAAACTGACAGGAAATTAATGTTACAAAAATAATTTAGTTTGCAAGTAATATTGAGTCGTCAAAACTTTTGATGCTGCATGTGTATTCTCAGCTCTGACAATTTATCATACGTGTAATATTTGATGAAATTTTCTAAAGAGAAAACTACTTATATAAATTCTAAGCAAGAAAATGTATTAACTTGATAACGCTAAGATTAAATGTAAATGCTGAACCTACCTTAGTTTACAATATATAAGCATAAAAACTGTAAAACCAACACTGCAGGCTATAGTCACCGATAAAGCTAACCAAACATTGCCTTGGTTGAAGAAATGTACGTGGGTCCTTGTCGATGTATCAGCAGCATTGTATGTAATATTCTCATCATGACCTGGTTTTAAGAGAAGAAAACATTAAGGATCATCATATTTAATGGGACTTATTGAACATCATACATGTAAAAACAATTGTGTCTACGGGCTTTAAATCAAACAATACATGTTAAATTTAATAAAATGATTGTTAGCTACTACCGGTTTTCAAATATAATAACGATATTCAAAAAATAAAGCTTTTATTACTTCATGAAATCATCACTGTTGTAGTTCACTGTCTGTGAAGTAATTATCTACTCATGCGCATTGAATATCTGCATGCCTCTGAGTTTGTGTGACCAAAAACTAAGGGCTGATGTCATTTATCTACTGTATAATTAGTGTTAATTTCCCTCATGCGTGAATAACCATTTTAAGTATATCTTTACTGAATGTTATATGAAAAGTATTTATTGCAGTTACTGTAAGTTGTCTTCTGATGTAAGGTAACACATTATACTTTTGTGTACAATGTGCACACATGCATTACATATAGTACCTTCCCAACTGTGATTTTTCATGATTAATGTATTGTTAATTTACAACCAAAATACATTCAGATATTTTTCATACTAAAAATCGGCTTTCTATTCCTGCGCTTTTGAACTGTAATCAAATGATACAAAATAGCTTTATCCGGTATTATTTTGAAATGGATTTAGGAGGACATCATTAGAAGAGCATGTGGCATTATGTAGATCATTAAAAGGTTATTAAATCGTTAAAACCCTGCAGGAAATACAAGAGAATTAAGCTAAAATGTGGGATGCATAATTTGCCTTTAGAAGCGTTTTCCCTACAGATTAAATTTATAGTTACTTTTAAGCTATGTAATCAATGTTTACTAATCAATAATGTTAATAATTTAGCTCCATTTTGATGTCATTGTTTTAGAGAGATATATTTCAGTATGTACACAGTGTACACATAATATATATATATTGCATATAAGATAATATGTATACCAATTGTATGATTGTGTGTATTATTTTAGAATTTTTGAAGCATTATTTATGAAATTATACCTGTACAAAAAACTAGCATTCCTACAAAAAGCATGACATTATAAAATAAAACTCGCTTACTTTCATTTGGAGCACACCCAGTAGAGGGGTAACATGGTGTACAGTTATTACATGATTCTCTACAAAGCTTTCCATAAAAATTAGGAGGGCATGGAATGCAGTTAACAGCATGCGTTCCTGGCCAACATTCTTTAAAATAAATTTTACAAATAAATAAACACTTCAAGTACAGTCAATAAAAAGGACATGTTTACTTATCTGCTTGTTTGTGTTTATTACTATAAATTATTATACATGTATTTTTATTAGCGAGATTTTGCTAGTTAAGAAAGCACAAAAATATACCAATAAAAAAGGATCCCTCTCCTAAAATGTTATTTTTTATTCCAGCTTCAAGTTGTTCAAAGGCTAAATTGAAATACCCTTGCAAGCTTCGCCAACTTTGCGGTAGTTTTCACAGCATATCAAGGGTTCGCTAAACAAAACAATTAACGTGTTTAAAATAATTAAATCGCAATGAATAAGCAAAACAACAATAACCACCTGAATATTAGCCTCCTGACCATTTAACTGACGTGTATAATTTCTTCCTTCAAATGTTAGCATTATACATGTATAAGAAGTTCAAATTGCAAGTTTTTCAGGACATCAAGGGTTTGCTAAACAAAGCAATTAACGTGATTAAAATGATTGAATCGCAATGAATAAGCAAAACAACAATAACCTGAATATTAGCCTCCTGACCATTTAACTGAGGTGTATAACTTCTTCTGTCAAATGTTAGCATTAATTACATTTATTAGCAGTTCAAATTGCATTTTTTTCAGAACATACATATTTAATGTTACTAAATGTACATGTATTTATTCAGAGTTACTTACCTGTCATTTGAACAAACTCCTGTAGTATTTGCAAACAGTCCAATCCCATTTGATAACAGAGCAATGATAATGCAGTAATCCATTATCAAATAAATTTTTGGTAATATTGTAAGAAACTTCAAGCTTTGAATACTTATACATGTATTGCAACAAAAACAATCCACAATATTTACGTTCAGGAAATTTCCCTTCAATTTCCTTGAACTCGTTTAAAAACTATTTCATGCACAAATGAAAATAATATGCAATGCAAGCTTGGAAAAATCTACAAAATAAGTTCTTTTCAGACACTTGATATCATTTCCCTCATTTTTTGTCAGCCGTTTTATTTAAAAAATTCAAATAATCTAAAACAAGGAAGTTGTTCAAACATATATATATTAAATAAAAAGAAAATAAAGTATTATCTTTATCGCTCAATTTTCATAAAACTGAATTTTGAATGAATCTGCAATGAAAATTTAATCCACATAAACTGCCAAAAAGAAGTTTTGTCCAAAAACAAAGTATTGACGAAAGCAAACACAGTATATCATCAATGCTAAATTTTAATCATTGTCAGGTCTTTGTTGTCTCATTATCTTCATAGCTTTTTCTATAAAAGGAAAGTACCCAGTCTCTAAAGTATAAGATTTAAATCAATTTTTGTGTGGCCCTTGACTCTTACCCTACAGCAAACCTGTCACCCCCACCCCTTTTTCAAGATTCCTGGATCCGCCGTTGTCATAAATAAAGATTTTTTTTAAACGAACTGGTAAAGGAAATCAAAATTCAAAAATCACGAAAAAGAAGCATTGCTCTTCGCAACAAGATATATAAGGACGCTGGCTCTGAATCCGTGGGAAACGGATCAGAAATAAATACATGCTAAAAAAATTATACACGTAATATTTGAAGTAAGAAATCGAATGCAATCAATAATGCGTACTTTTGTGTTTTAGATTCTTATTTGCCCAAAGAGCTTCAATACTAATTTATTTGACCGAAGTATAAAAAATAATGACATAAAATGTCAATATGTCTTACGTGATTTTAAGTCTTTCAAATACCACTTTTATTTCTTATCATTTGATTATGATTTTCAATAATAATACAAAAATGAAATGAAACTTTCTATCACTTTACTATTAAAATTACTCATCAACAACAGAGCGGAGGAATATATTACAGCAACGGTGCTGAAAATCAAAATGGCTTTAGGCCTAACAAAGACATTACGTTCTCGAATATTGTAGTGTCATTACCAACCTTACCAACAATAATTTACAGTTCTTTTACAAACCTGTTGTGTTTACTCATCATGTTTTTCTATATCCCAATGGGTATATTTCCACGGTAAGATATCTAGGTTCGAAAATTTAAAGGAATGCTATATACTACTAAAATATCCTTACTACTCTTTCTATAGGTCAAAGACATTTTGGATTTTAATTGCGCATTAAATTTTTCTTCATTTGAATTTCAAACCGAACATATACATATGTATAACAACCTGTTTATGCTGTAAAATCTAAAAAAAAAAATCCTTCCTTAGTTATGTATTGTGTTTCTCCAATTATTCGTTTCCAAAAAATAACAGATTAATGGCATTTCACCGCTTTGGTAGCATAAGCACAGCTGAGCTTTTGTCCATGCCAGTTATTTCAAAGTCAAACTTTTAACATATACATGTTAAACATTCAAAGAAGTTCCGGCTGCTAAGTGTAAGCGAACTCTAGATTCTATTGAAAAAGTAATCAAAGAATTTCTTTTCCAAACAGAATCAATTCTTTTAATAGAAATTATATGTTTTCAATATCATATAACATATCACAGAAATACGTACAGGGTGTCCCAAAGCATATGTTACACTTTTAATCATCTATTACTTTATCAAACAAAAAGCATTCACAAATATATTTTTTCAACATCCAACGTATTAGCATGCATTCACAAAGATATTTTGTCAATATTTAACGTATTAGCATATATTTTATCTGACAAACTTTCGAGAAATTCTGTTCAAGAGTCATGTAATTATGATGTCCTAAGGACTTCACCATATTTTTAATATGGAACCTTCATGTGAAGAGCTAGTAGAAATTGTAAAACTTTTCTATCGGTCTAAAATTTGCTATTTGAGTCATTAGTACAATGAGAAAACAACATCCTGTTATGAAAGTGCTCAACAGAATACTAATTTACAGATTTTTGAAGGAGTTTAAAGATAAAGGCACCATAAATGTCACATGACTTAATTCCGGTATTAGAAGACCAAGAAAAGCCCGATCCAAAGAGAACATTAATACCATTGATAGAGTTATTACTGGAACTTTACAAAAATCCCTAAGACGGGTCCTGTATAAACAATAAAACACCTGTGGTTAATCTAGTAATCATAAAATACCCAAATTTGATTTTTAAATCGATTCCTTACAAGATAAGTGTAATGCAGCATTTGAAAGAGACAAACATTAGAAGTTGTTTATAGTTTGCTAACTGGATTTGAATTTGACCCGACTCTGAAAATTTAACAGATGCATGATTTTTCGATGAAGGCCACTTCCATTTCAACCATGTTGTGAAAGAAAATCTTAAATTCCATTGTTTGGTGAAACCCAAGTTTAATGTTGGAAAATTTCTGTACTGTTAGAATGTTAGATTTAAAGCTTGGTGAATAAAAACTTCAAGAATTGTGTTCAAACAATGTTAATTCAAAGGTACGTCATTTGGAACATGTTGTAAAATGATATATGTTATTCTAAAGAAAAAATATTGATGATTAATAAGGAAACTGTGACAAATGTATGCTTCACAAAAAAGTTAAAACAATTTCGTTATATATTTTAAATTTCAATATTGAAACTTGAGGCATAAAATTTTTATAACGGTTCAAAAGTGTAACATATGTTTTGGGACCCCCTGTATATCTATAATACAATATTTAGCATATTTAATTTTACTTTGAATGTTTTTTTTTTTTTCATACAGATGTCAATATAAACAATTAAATGTCTTTTATTGTTTGTTAGTACGGGAATATTGTAGAAAAAATAAATAACCCGCTTTTTAATTACCCAAAAGAGCCATCGAATATTGATTTAAAAATTTCCATTATTTTTTTGTTAAAAAACAAGTGAAAAAGATTTACATGTTGACAGTATTTGGACAATGCCTTTTTTATCAAAACACCAAGTATGATATTGACTGGGATCGATACGTATAAGCATTTTTGTATTTTTTAATTAAATATATTGGTACTACTAGTTGCGGTACTGATTCTTCTGAAAAACACTAGGCTTTGCTCTTCAAATCCAATATGAGAAATCACGAAGTCATCAGCTATAAAAAAGACTTGTGCATTGATTTCTTTAAATAATGATTAATACAAATATTAGTATTAAAATGCAAGGAAGATATTCAACAAAAGTATACGAGGGTTGTTCAATACCAAAAATTCAATTTCATATGTATGCAATGGCATAAAGATGAATCATATATTGGTTGCCTGTCAATGAAAATTTCATTTCAGCAATAATATTTGCAGTATGTAGGCAGAGATAAAAAATCAACACACAATCGTTCATTTATATTAATCTATCCGTTCCTAATAAGGTGCGATGATAACTCCACTTTCGCATTTAATAATTATTATACTCATGGTACTGAAACTGTCATAGTTTTTCCTTGTGTCTTGTGGTTTGGGTCATTGCAGCTGTTATCCGACTACGGTTTTATTTTTTTTTCGTAGTAAATTATCTGAGGAACTTACTCATGTTTTATGAGGGCGTAATGTAAGCATTGATTTAAGTTTTTTTAACCTACCATGTAATGTCGGAAAATAAAAAAAAAAAAAGCGATATCAACAAAAATACATATGTAAGTTTTGGTATTATCTATCGACCTAACTATAAAAAGTATGATGTCATAATGTTTTCCGAATCTTCGTGTTTTTTTTTTCAGCCATAATTCAAAACTGGGAATGAATGTAGTTTTAATAATATTTGTCATTTGATCTCCCAAAGTTTAAAGGTAGCGAATCTACCAAAACAATTAACTTAAAGCAGTCTATAATTTACTGTATTTAATTGTAATTACTCGTAGTATAAATCATTTCAAAAGAAACAGAGAAAAAAAAATCGTTTACCTGTGAGATTCCAACACTGATGCGTAAATCCCTTTTTTTTATGAGATTCTATTTCTTTTGATCACTATTTCACGTACATTACAGACCATTCAGGTATAACATGTATCGCCTGACATAGACTATCTACCATTCAAAATCTTCCTGTGCAATTTACACGAAAACGCTCGATCCATTTTTACAAAACATATTTTCTGCGTCTTTCAGCCTTCTAATCGTTTTCCCGTTCACTTTCCATTGTTTTTTCAGGGCGCAGTATAAAATAAATTTGGTCTGAGCTTTCCCTAGTTCGGCCAAGTCAGTGGCGTTTTCTGGCCCATTTTAATGATTTTTCGGTTAAATCTAAGTGGTAATTACTGTAAATTTGCATTATCTCCCTTTACAAAATTGGTTTATTTCTCATCTTGATATCCTGTGTCTGCTAAAAATTATATGTCATTGTTAATAATACTTTTGAGAATTTCAGACAAATCATTAAACGTCACAAAGGTGGCAACACACGACAAACTGTTTTACAGACTTTTTACTCATTGAAGGAGGATAAGATAAGGTGTTCTAGCGTTGAAAGGATTATGGAAAGAAATTAGCCAGTTGATGGGTAACCGGGGTATCAAAATACTTATTGCATTATAATAAATGCTTTTATCTAGTCGCTGCTTCGCGACGTTTCACGACGTATTTTGCCTTCTTCAAAGACTACAACCTTAGTATTCAGAAAATGATTTGTATTAACGAATCAAAACATTAGGTCAGAGTTTGGAATTTGATATATTGTCGTTACACGAATGTCAAGAAGTTTTATATTGGTTCTGTAAATATGATTTCAGATATTATAAGAAATAGGCATAAATATAAGAGATGCATTTAAAATTATTAAACATTAAACTTAAAAAAAATCTGTCAAATGAAGCTTTCAGGAAGTTTGATTGAAATAACTGATAAACAGAGCACTATACTTCATAAATGTAAAACATGAAATTTTCTGAAAAACGAAAATCTGATATCTTAACTAGTGACGCAAATGACGACTAAAAAACTATAGCAAAAATCACGGGAAGTTAGGTTTCTAACCATTTAGAGCAAAGGGCGCATTATAAAGTAATGGTATTCTCAGTTTTAAAAAAATATCAAAGTTGATATATGCAAATTTAATGAATTATCTGCTCTTTCCTGTCGACTGCTTCG